TTGAATACATTTTACATTAAAAATCATATGCTTAACAAGTTATGGTCACCAACTTTACTATACTATTGGCTTTTTTATTCAATATTAATATCATGTATAGTATTAACTATTACACAATCAAAAAACAATAGGTTAATTACTATAATATTTACTTGTGGAGGAATTATATGTTTTATATGTATTACATCACTAATACTATTAGCCAGTAATGTTAATACGGAAGCTAAGCATACATATAAATTAATTAATAATTATAATAGCAATAAATTATGTCAACTAAAATCAATTCATACATTGCATGCAAAACTTAAAGTAATTAAATTTAATATAAATAATTTAAACTTGATATTAATTATCAAGATAACATTTTAATTGTTATTATTATTATATTAATTATTATTTTATTTTCACAACTATTAACAACAGTTGTTAACATTGATAGAATTGATGGCTAAACCGAAAATTGGTTTTTATTGTTGGAAACTATTTCTAATCAATCAATTTACATATCAATTGGTAAATATATAATAGAAAATAATTATATATTAAATATTAAATACTAATAAATTAATTTAATTAACAGTTTCTTTATATAACAACAAAAACTATATTAAAACTTATTTTATTTATATAAGTGAATAAAATATAAAAAACAATTTATGTCCAGTAATTTATAAATATCTACAGTATATTTTGATGATTTTAATTGTTATTATTTATTAGTATTATATTAGTATTATTGTTTAATTATGTCTAATTAAAGTTAAAATATTCTCAATATTGATTTTATTTGAATATTTATCATAATTATACTGTATTAATAATTTTATATGTAAAGTAAATGTATATTTTGATGATAAAATAAAATATTCAAATTATTATTATATAAATTATTATTTAAACAATTAGCGTATCAATCGTTAATTATGATATACTGTACTTTTTAATATTATAAAACATTAATAAATATATTTTTTTATTTAATATTTTTTTATATAACAAAAAAACTATTTGAAAATTATTTTATTACTTTAATTAACGATAAACTAGTATATACTGGTATTACAATTAAATTATGGACATAATGTGCTTATTATAGATAATTGAAAAAACAATATTATTATTTTATTTAATGATAAATTAATGTTTTTGTTGGTATTTTTAGACAAATTTTAATATTACTAATGTTTTGCAATAAAAAATTAATTTTGTTTGTATTGTTTTTATTTATAAGTTATCTATAAATAACTTATTTCATTGATATTAAGTATATAATTATCCTATTAGTTATCAACAAAATTAATAAATTTGGGACATTTAAATAATTATATTAATGTTTAATAAAATTATTAAACTTTTATTATATTGAAAATTATAGAAAAATGGAAATTGAATTAATACTTTTTAAATTAAAGTTAACAAAAATATAGTGTAAACAAAATAATTTATTTGAACTATTTTATATTATATATGACTAAATTTGAGTTTATTTTTATCAAACCGAGTTATTTAATACCTTACATGACTATAGTTGAGTTTATTTAGTTTTTTCATATTGTATCATTTAATACACCAGATCACAAATTTTCACTATATTTTTTCTTAATTAATTATTTAATGATAAATTAATTTTATTTTTGCTGTTGTTGCTTTTTTAGTAATGTCTAAATAAAGAAAAAACAACATTAACTTTTTATTGCTAAACATTAGCATAACTAATATAATATATGACTAAATAAAATAGCAACAAAAAAAACAATTAATTTATCATTAAGTTAACTAATGTTTGAAAACTAATTAAGTTAATTAATATATTAATATAATAATATTTATATTATTTTATTAGTTTATTACGATAAGTTTTAAAGATATTAAGTATTAATATAAGTATTATAAAGTATTAATACAATTTTTACTTAATTAATTATTTAATGATTAATTTATTTTATTTTTGTTGTTGTCATTTTTTAGTCATGTCTTAATTAGACATAAAACAACATTAACTTTTTATTGCAAAACATTAGCGTTACTAATATATGACTAAATAAAATAGCAACAAAAAACCATTAATTTATCATTAAGTTAATTATTTATTAATATATTAATTTAATATAACTATAACATATATATATTAGAATAGTTTATTAGTTTAAAATACATTTCAATTTTTATTTCGGTATTTAATAAAAAAAAATTATTTTTTTTGTTTATTAAATGGTGTAATAATTTTAAAAAATTTAATTTTAATAAAATTAATTATATCAAATTTAATAGTAGTTGTAAAAATTGAAGTTTTGTAACTATTATCATAATCTATTATACAATAATTTAAGTGCATTATATTACAAATAATCAATTAAAACTATTGTTTCTAATTATATTTATATATAAAAAAATATAATTAATTAAAAAATTAATAACAAAACTTAATTAATAACAAAAATTATTATTTTTATTTGTGAATGTTTACCTATTTAATTTTTAATCAATTATAATTATTTTAGTTATTTAAAAAAAACATTATTATCAAAACATTAAACTTAATCAGATATAACTTTAATTTTAATTTAACTTATATTATATACAAATATAGTTTTTAAAAATGTATTTAACAAAATATGATATCCTATTGTATTTATTGGGCGAAAAATGCTATCGATTGGGATTTCCTAAATATAATACAAACTATAAATGTATATCAACTTTAAATACAATGATATTTGATATATGTTGTTTTGTTGAACTATTTAAGACATTTTTAGGCCATTATTTAAATGATGACAATCATTATAAATATAATAGTTATTTAGGTAAATGGCCTGATTTTGGTAAAACAGTTTTAAATTACATTTCAATAATGTGCATTACATGTTAAATTACATTTCAAAACAGATTTCAATAATGTGCGCCTATTTAATAAAATTTGATAATAATAATAGATTTAAAACTATTGACATAAAACAATTAAAATTATTATATAATATCAATGCTATACCAAATATTAATGATTATAATTGTACTGGATATTTTAAATTATTTAGCAAAATATTAAAAATGTCATATTTTATATGTTTTTTAATATATCCATTTATAGTAATGTCATTATACTATTCATGGTATCAATTGATAACATTTGGCATAATTTGGTCACTATTTTATTTGTTTGTCACTCCAAACTCTCAACTAATGTTAACCTATAATATGTTATATTTTTCGACAATATGTTTGTATCAAAAATTTCGATTAAAAAAAATTAATTCCAAAATTTCAAAATTAATTAAATTAAAAATACTGTCAATTAAACAGAATATATTAGTTACTAAACATTTTCATAAAACATTGAACACATTTTACATTCAAAATCATACGCTTAACAATTTATGGTCACCAACTTTGCTATACTATTGGCTATTTTATTCACTATTGATATCGTGTATGACAATTACAATTATACAATTAAAAAACAATATGTTTATTGGTATAATATTTACTTTTGGTGTAATAATCTGTTTTATATGTATTACATCAATAATACTATTAGCCAGTAATGTAAATACGGAGGCTAAACATACATATAAACTAATTTATAATTATAATAGCAATAAATTTTCTCAACTAAAATCAATTCATATATTGCATGCTAAACTTAAAGTAATCAAATTTAAATTAAATTTTAATTATTATTATATTAATTTTCATTTTATTTTCACAAATATTAACAACAGTTGTTAACATTAATAGAATTGATGGCTAAACCGAAAATTGGTTTCTATTGTTGGAAATTATTTTTAATCAATCAATTCACTTATCAATTGGTAATTATAAAATAGAATATAATCATATATTTAATTATTTCAAACTAAATCAATTATTTTTAATTAACAGTTTCTTTATATAACAACAAAAACTATTTTCAAACTTATTTTATTAGTTTAATAATAACGATAAACTTGTATATACTGTATATATCGGTATTATAACATTATTATATCATAGATATTATAACATTATTATATCATAGATATTATAAACAATTGTAATTATAAGAAACAATATTACTGTATTTTATAAAATTGCAAAATTATTATTTTATTTAATGATAAATTAATGTTTTATTTTGTTGGTATTTTTAGTCATATTTTATCAATACTAATGTTTTGCAATAAAAAATACTAATTTTATTTGTGTTTTTTTATTTACACATAACTTATTACATTAATATTATAAGTAAATAATTATATATTATTTTAGTTAATAAAATAATAAAAATTTTAGCATATAGTATAAACGTTTTAATAAAATAAGTGTGATACATTATCATATAAATATATATATATATTAATATAATCATTATAACATATAATTTAACTTTAAATAATTAAACTATAGTTTATTTCATAAATTTTTGTCAGTTATGTTAGTGATTGACAATCAGATAGAGACAAATTGATAGAAATATTCCATTGACTACAAACTGATATATTTTTTTTTTAAATTTTAATTATAATTTTCATAAACTTTATGCTATAATAAAGTAGCCGACAATACATTATATATTTCCCAATCTTTTAGCACTTTTGATTCGGTTGTTATAATGGTTTAAATTATTTTCAATTTAATTGGAAAGTATGTATTATTTTTGTTTTGTTATAAAAAAAATTTATATACTATTTTTTATCAATAATTATATTTACTGATATTTATATTGATCATTAATTAGATAAAAGTTTTTTTTAAAAACTTACCGGTACTGTATTAATTAATTATACAATTTTAGGTCAAACTGTAATTTTAAAATTACCAGTAATTAGAAATATTTACAAAATAGTAAATAACAATGATAGTTGTAATAAAAAAATATTTAGTATCTTATATAATATATATTACATATTTTACAATAGTATATAAATTTATTTAAAACTTCATAATAAGCGCTTATACTATAATAATAATACTGCAAAAAACACAGACATACATATCCGACATCAAAAACTATGATATCAATTATGTAGAAACCAGGGATGTGTTAGTATTTGACGGCTGCGGATGCGTTCATCGGGACAGGGATTCATCAGCTGATGAAGTAGACTAAGCAGATCGCTGTCGTTAATACGATATCTGTCCTCTGTATCATCAGTTACAACAATAGTCAGCCAATGTTTTTCGTTAATCTGTTTCAATAAGTCATGCCTGGCCTCAGCCATGGCTTCATTATTGGTGTCCTCCCGGCGAAGTACATCCGACACTTGAAACGGAAACTTCAGGGTTATCATCACAAACAATAGGACACCTAAACTGAAACAGTCGGCAACAAACGGGTCAAACGGCTTCGGTATTTGATCAGCATTTGAGCCGTCGTTTTCTGTACTAATGGCAAACATTTCGGGAGCCTTGTATTCGGCAGTACCGAAAACCGATCGACACATTTCCTGTCGACCGAATCGTTGAGCTAAACCAAAGTCACATAATTTCATTTGACGATTCTTGACCAACACGTTGTCCGGTTTGATGTCCCGATGGGCTACACCTATACCGTGCAAATAGTCGACAGCTTCGACAATCTGTTTGAACCACTCTTTGATTACCGTTTCCTCCAAAAACTTGTTTTTTTGTTTTGTTCAATAATGACATCCATCAGATCATTTTCGGCCAATTCGCTGACAATGAATATAAAACGGTCGCTATGTTTGACCACTTTATAGGTTTTGATGATATACTGGTGATCTACCGACTCGACAATACTGATCTCTCGGGGTATGTAAACGTCCCGTATTTCTGGACTCTGTTCGTGAAGATCAGTGACCTTAACGGCGACGTCGATGTTATTGTTGTAATTGTTGTCGACATCGATATCGGCTGCAATGGTGGTCAACTTCATCAGGCCTTTCACTACAACACAGTTGACATCTCTGGCAATATAGTCGATGAGTTCAATACCTTCGCTGATCAGTACATCCCTGGCCTCTACAGAAAGTTCGGGTAACACTTGTCTATCACTTTCCTGTTGTTTTTGATCTATATTTATCACATTATTATTATTATTATTATTATTATACTGTAATACCTGTTCCTCATCCTCTTGTTGTAGAAACATATCTCTCAAAGTTATTGGCAGACAATTAGTTTACAGCAAATGACGCAACAATTAAGTTAAATATTTTTATTATTATTTTTTTTTATTCAAAAAAAAATTAATATCAAAATATATAGGACTTTGATATTTACTTATTAAATATTATACAAATCAATGCTAATCAAAACAATGTTACAAAATATTATAATAAAATTACTTTAGTTGTTTTTATAAAGTTAACAAATAAATTAACAAAAATAATTAGTTATTAATACTGTATATTTTTTTTTGTTTAAAATATTACTGTAGTTTTTAATACATAAAATGTATAAATAATATCCAGTATAACTTCTCTTTTTTTAATACATATATTTGTCATCACTTTTTCTTAATTAACTGATTTTTAATATTATTTTGGATGTCATTGTATTTAATTGCTATCCACTTGTGTTGTGTCAGTGACAGCATATCGGGTCTGCGTTTGGGATTTGGTTCCAACATCTGGTCAATGATGTCCACCAAATCGGCTGACGGTTTGAATTGACTGCTAAACCGATATTGTTTTGATTGCATTTCGGTCAGCGCTTGTGACCAGTGTTTATGTCGGGCTGAATAGTATGGAAACTGTTTAGTAAACAGATTGTAAAGTACGACTCCCAGTGCCCAGACGTCCACAAGTTTAGCATTATATCCGGGTTTTGTTTGTTTGTCTTCACCGTACAGTATTTGTTGTTGTTTTATGACTTTAATGTTCAATAGTTCGGGTGCCATATAGGATGCCGTTCCGCAAAACGTTTTCGACTCCAAATGTGCGCCCTGTCTGTAGACAACACGACTCAATCCGAAATCACTGATCAGTATATCATCGGAAACATCTAACAGTATGTTCTGGGGTTTGATGTCTCGGTGGGCGATATTACGCGAATGCATGTAAACCAATGCCGACAGCATTTGGCCAAACCATGTCCGACACAGGTCTTCATCAAACGGTCCCGACTGATGGTTACGTTCGTTGAGTGTACCGCCGACTGCGTACTGCATAACAATGTAAAAAGTGGTCAACCGGTCGGCAGTGTTGTCAACATTAAAATGGGTGACTAGTTTGACGACATACGGGTGCCGTAGTCTTTCCAATGCAAACAATTCGTATTTGATATCTTTGGTCAGCTTATGTCTATCGCCTTTACTTCTCATCCTATCGTCTAATACCAACACTTTACAGGCCAACTGTTCTCCACTGTTGATGTGTATCATTAGAAAGACAGTCCCATATTTACCGGAACCCAACTCCCTGTCCTGTCGATAGCCTTTCATAGCTATAACATCGTCAGCTGTTTTATACTGTTTAGTCGGTATTTCATAGAACTCTCCCATATCTCTGAGTTTCAGTTTGATTGGGTCCGACCCGAGTTGTCTCTGTTTATGATCTTTTGCTATTTTACTCAATACCTTAAGTGTTCGTCTTTTTTCTTGATATCTGTCCTTTTTGTTATACTTTTGCCGACAACAGCAACAATAACAACAGCACAAGTAGTAACACATGTTATTACCCATTGATTTATTTTTGGTGATAGAAAGCGGACGACTGTCTAAACCAAGAAAATCAATGATCAGTTGTTTATTGGCAATCAATTCAGTCAAATACAGTTTTATATCATATAACACAAAAACTAACGACAAAACTTACAAAACTTATATTAAAAAAAATTAATTTAAAATTGTTTGATTGACAACAATTACACTATTATTTGTATTATTATTTTATAAATAATCATGCGTTTTTAATTTAATTTTTTTTAATTAACAATAATATTTTTATAATAATAATTATTTTTTATTAACAAAACAAACTATATCATTTATTTTTGATCAATTGAAGTTTATATGAAAACTTATTTACTAACACATTTAAATATGGATAGATAAAATAAATATATTATAATAGTGAAAAAAATTATTATAAAACATTTATCTTTATTAGTTAAATTAAATTTAATTTTATTTCAACTATTTATAGTTATTTAGAAACAATTTTCATTTGTAAACTTTAAAAAAATATTTATTTTTTTTGGTTAGTATTAGTGACAATATTTTAACTTTAAACCTAACAAATAATATTATAATTTTAATTTAAAATTACAAATTGTTAAAGTTAAAGTTGTTATAAATTACTATAGGATTTAACTGGACTAACTTTTTTTATATTTTTAGTTAATTTATTACCGGTTAATGTTTTGTTAAAATATGTTTAATACATAGTAATTAATAAAAATATACTAATAATTTAGTTTTAACATTAATCTCAAATCATTTATGTACTGAATATGTATTTCAAAAACTAATACTAAATAATTATGCAATAATTTTTCTAACTTATTGCTTAATAATAAAAATGTTAACATTAAATATAAAAATTTGCATTATAATCTCAGTTTTAATAAACAAATTTATACAATCATTTAAATATATATATTTTTAAAAAATTTATATCAAATCATTTTCAAAAAAGAGCATTGAATTACAAGTAATTTACAAATAAATTAATTAATAATATTTAAATATAATTGTCTAGACTAAATTTTTGTTAATTTACATATTAATTAAAATGTAAATATTTTAATAAATTATTTTATTTACATAAATATTATGTCAGTATAAAATTCTTGAATTATTTAACATAATTATATTTAAAATTAATATATTTAAAAAAGTATAAAAGCAGCAATAGTTTGTGTATATAAATTCATAACAAAATCAATTTAGTAAATAATAATTATTATTTTATTTTTTTTAATTATAAATTCACTAAAACAATGCGTTCGGTTATTATTTTAGTTATTATGATTGGCTTATTGTTTGGTTTGTATTTATACAAAAAAATTAATATATTAAAATATTATACTAAAATATCTTTCATATTTTATATATAAAACGATTTTTATAATAACATTTATTATCTATAGCGTCAACAATGGCTCAGATACCCACATGTGCAGATACTCAAAAAATATGCGGTAATACCTGTTGTGAACCGGGACAGTTGTGTGCCGCTATTGGTCTACTCGGTGTAGCCATATGTTTGGGTTTAGGATAACTCTAGTAATTAAAAGCACTTTTAAATTGTAATTAATTTTTAAATGCAAACTAATATAAAATTCCAGTTGAAAATATAATAATTGTTTTATTTAGAAATATTTGTAATAATTTATTTCTAAACAAAATTTATTTTTTTATTAATAAAATTGAAATTATAATAGACATTAAATTTGTTTCTAATGTATTTTATGATTATACTTTTAATTGTATTTTATCAATAACCAGTTGAGAATGCTTACAAAAGCATTTCCATACGAACTCCATAACTTAAAAAAATAAAAAAATAAAAAAAAATTTTTTTAGCAGAGCCTGAATTCGATCCTATGTCTCGTGAGACAGACAGATAGATAGACTTTTAGAATACATATACGTACTCTTTCAGGAGTTATCAAAAATATCAAAAACTTAGTCAAAAACTAAATATAATATTTATATTATTAATTATTATTATTAATTATAAACTATCACAACTTTAGATTTTGGTATATACAGTATATAATATTAGTTTTTAATTTAAATACTCAAAAATAATTATTTAATATCAAAACAAATATCATTTTATTTCTATTTCTTTATGTACTTAATGTATCCATGTAAAAAATATATAATTTTAATTTTTACATTTTTTGTCTCAATTTTGTTATGTTCATAGAAGATAGGTCATTTTAGATGCAGATCCCCTAACCAAATATGAAATTATAAATTCAAAATTTTTTCAAAATTATATATGACACACACACACACACACACACACACACACACACACACACACACACACACACACACACACACACACACACACACAYACAMATACASATACATACATACATACATACATACACACACACACACATACATACATACATACATACATACATACATACATACATACATACATACATACATACATACATACATACATACATACATACATACATACATACATACATACATACATACATACATACATACATACATACATACATACATACATACATACATACATACATACATACATACATACATACATACATACATACATACATACATACATACATACATACATACATACATACATACATACATACATACATACATACATACATACATACATACATACATACATACATACATACATACATACATACATACATACATACATACATACATACATACATACATACATACATACATACATACATACATACATACATACATACATACATACATACATACATACATACATACATACATACATACATACATACATACATACATACATACATACATACATACATACATACATACATACATACATACATACATACATACATACATACATACATACATACATACATACATACATACATACATACATACATACATACATACATACATACATACATACATACATACATACATACATACATACATACATACATACATACATACATACATACATACATACATACATACATACATACATACATACATACATACATACATACATACATACATACATACATACATACATACATACATACATACATACATACATACATACATACATACATACATACATACATACATACATACATACATACATACATACATACATACATACATACATACATACATACATACATACATACACATTACAGAATACAATCTTTTAAAATGTTTTAACTTTATGTATAAGTATTTTTTTTAATTAATTATCTTTAAATAATAGACTAATAAAATTTATGTAAATATATTAAATATTACTGTATGTTAGTGTTATGTAATTATTTATTTGTAAAAAAATATTAATAAAAAAAATCTATACTGTACAATTTTGTGATTTTTGTGAAGCGTTTATAATCAATTTTTTAAATATAAACTTACATTGCTTTATGCACCGGTAGCTGATATGGACAATGCTTAGTTTTAAAAAATTGATTAAATAAGTTTTGTAGTATTTTATATTATAAGTTTATTATAATAATTTAAATTGGTTTATTAAACTAACAATTGCAATTGTCATACCTAAGTAATTTTAATTAAAAAAAAAAGTTTGTCTGAAAATCTAATAAATCATTTAATATTTTTTTGCATTGCACTGTTAATAGATATAATTTTTTTTAAATAGTTTCACAACTATTTTTATTTAAATAATATTTACATAATAATTATTATTATGTAAAAACATTCAAATTCTACTTAAATACACCTATAATGCTAATGACATTTTATTGAAATTTATGATAGTATTAAATATTTTAATTAACTAACAAATATAGGTATATATTATATATATATTTAAAAAAGTATATAAGCTCAAAGTTTGATAGTTAGAAAGATATTAGAAATAAATACTAATATAATAATATAATTTTTACAATTGAATTATTACAATGCGTTCGGTTATTATTTTCCTAGCAATTGTTGGACTATTTATTGGTATATTAGATATATAATAATATTTTTTTGTAGAATCTTTAATAAATAATTTATAAATATTTATTTTTAAATAATTTTTTATGACCTAGCTTCAACAATGGCCCAGGGTGTACCAGCAGTGTGTGCTGAGGGACAACGACAATGTGGTGCCAATTGTTGTGAGCCGGGACAGGCGTGTGTTAATGTCGGACTACTCGGTGTTGCCGTATGTTTGGGTTTGGGCTAACTCTATCATTGAGATACCGATTATAAATTATTTTTGTAAAGTAACCCTTAGTTACTTAGAATAATTTATTTGAACTAAAATATTATAAAATTTTTATCAATTTGTTAATAAAATTTTGTTTTAAATTTATATTTTGTTGTTATTTTATTCATAATAATATATTTTTATTTTATTCATGTTTTAAAAATTTGTTTTTTATATACATATTTTTTATGAATTTATTCTAAAATTGCTAAGACAGGTCATTTTAAATGCTAATAAATAAATACATAAACGCATGTGACAAACACACATACATTATAGAAAGTAAACTTTTTTGAAAGTTTGTTAGTAGTTATTTTTATGCAATAAAATTTTTTGAAATGTTTATATATAAGTGTATTTAATTAATTTAAATTAAATAATAGACAAATAAAATTTATCTAAATTTGTTTAAAAAATTATTTAATATTTTATAATAAATATTATAATCTTACAAATGTATACTGTATAATTTATGAATATAAAAATTATAATGTACATTTTTGAGATTTTTGTGTATTTTTTAAATAAAAATTTTACTATTAAAAATTTTAAAAATAATTACAGAACATTTATAAAATAATAGAATAATTTATTATAATAATTTAAATATATAATAAATAATTATTAAATATAAATATTTAGACATTATATAATAATTTAAATTGGTCTATTAAACTGACAATTGCAATTATCATGCATATGTAATTTTATTCAAAAAATGTCTGAAAATCTAACAAATCATTTAATTTATTTTTAAACTAGTTGTAGTAGTTAATTGACATAATTTTTTTCAAATAGTTTCACAACTATTTTTATTTGAATAATATTTGCATAATAATAATTATTATGTAAAAATATTTAAATACTAATTAAATACACCTATAATGCTAATGACATTATATTGAAATTTATGATAGTATTAAATATTTGAATTACCTAACATATATATATATATATATATATAGATTTAAAAAAGTATATAAGCTCAAAGTTTGATGGTTAGAAAAATACTAGAAATAAATAGTAAAATTAATTAATTATAATAATTTAATTTTTTATATAATTTAATTATTACAATGCGTTCGGTTATTATTTTTCTAGCTATTGTTGGACTATTTATTGGTATATTAGATATACTATAATAATTTTTTTTAGTAGAACCTTTAATAAATTATTTATAAATATTTATTATTAAATAATTTTTTATGACCTAGCTTCAACAATGGCCCAGGGTGTACCAGCAGTGTGTGCTGAGGGACAACGACAATGTGGTGCCAGTTGTTGTGAGCCGGGACAGGCGTGTATTAATGTTGGACTACTCGGTGCTGCTATATGTTTGGGTTTGGGATAACACTATCATAGAGATACCGATTATTAATTATTTTTGTAAAGTAATGCTTAGTTACTTAGAATAAATTAATTGAACTAAAATATTATAAAGTTTTAATAATTTGTTAATAAAATTTTGTTTTAAATTTATATTTTGTTGTTAATTTATTAATAATAATAAGTTTTTATTTTATTGATGTTTTATAAATTAGTTTTTTATATTACAAATTTTTTAAAAATTTATTCTAAAATTGATGACTGGTCATTTTAAATGCTAATACATAAACGCATGCGACAAACACACATACATTACAGAAAGTAAACATTTTTGAAAGTTTGTTTGAAATTTTTTTTATTACATAAAATTTATTTTTTTAACCATTTCTATATAAGTTTATTTAATTAAATAAATTTATATAATAGACAAATAAAATTATATATAAATTTGTTTTTAAAAAATTATTGAATATAAATTTCTTATGTATAATATAAAAATTATACTGTACAGTTTTGTTAATTTGTGTGTTTTGTTATTTTGAATAATTTTGTTATATCAATTATAATGTTAAATTTATATTGCTTTTTTTGCACCGGGCGCTGATGTGTACTATATGTGTCTAAAAAAACTGATTACATAAGATTTATAAATTAATAGAAAAATTTATTATAATAACTTAAATATTTAATAAAATAATTGATAAATATAAAAATGTAGACATTATATAATAATTTAAATTGGTTTATTAAACTAACAATTAAAATCTAGAAAATCATTTAATATTTTTTTGCAATAGTTTTAGTTGTTCCAGAAAACAATTTTTTGAAAATTTGTTTCAAATATTTTTATCCAATAAAATTCATTTTTTAACTTTTATATATAATTTTTTATAAATTAATTTAATTTAAATAATAGACAAATAAAATTTATCTAAATTTGTTTTAAAAAAAATATTTAATATTTTATAATAAATATTATAATCTTATAAATGAGTCTAATATATGAACATAAAAACTATGCTGTACAGTTTAGTGATTTTAAAATAAAATTTTTTATATCAAATATTAAAGTTAAATCTACATAGCTTTATGTACCAGATGCATATAAGTACTACTACACTTTTAATTTAAATAAACATAAAATTTTTAGAATAATAAAAAAATTATTGTAATAATTTAAATAATTTATAAAAAAAATAATAAATATAAAAATGTAGACATTATAATTATATAATAATTTATCTATATAATTTAAATTGGTTCATTAAACTAACAATTGCAATTGTCATACTTAAGTAATTTTATTCAAAAAAAAAATGTTTGTCTAAAAATCTAACAAATGATTTATTATATTTTTGAACTAGTTGTAGTAGTCAATTGACATAATTTTTTTTATAAATAGTTTAACAACTATTTTTATTTGAATAATATTTGCATAATAATACTTATTATGTAAAAATATTTAAATACTAATTAAATACACCTATAATGCTAATGACATTATATTGAAATTTATGATAGTATTAAATATATTAATTACCTAACATAWATATATTTTTTTAAAAAAAGTATATAAGCTCAAAGTTTGATAGTTAGAAAGATACTAGAAATAAATAGTAATTAATTAATTATAATAATATAAATTTTTTATAATTTAATTATTACAATGCGTTCGGTTATTATTTTCCTAGCAATTGTTGGCCTATTTATTGGTATATTAGATATATTATAATAATTTTTTTTGTAGAACCTTTAATAAATTATTTATAAATATTTATTATTAAATAATTTTTTTATGACCTAGCTACAACAATGGCCCAGGGTGTACCAGCAGTGTGTGCTGTGGGTGAACGACAATGTGGTGCCAGTTGTTGTGAGCCGGGACAGGCGTGTATTAATGTTGGACTACTCGGTGTTGCCGTATGTTTGGGTTTGGGCTAACTCTATCATAGAGATACCGGTTATTATTATTTTAGTAAAATAATGTTTAATTAGTTAGAATAACATATTTGAACTAAAAAATAAAGTTTTATCAATTGATTAATATATTTTATTAATAAAATTAATTATTTTTTGTTGTTGTTTTATAAATAATTTGCTTTTATTTTATTTATTTTTTAAAAATTAGTTTTTAATATAAATCTTTTTTTTAAAAAAAGAATTTATTCTAAGATTGATAAGATATGTCATTTTAGATGCTTATGTATAAACGCATGCGACAAACACAGACACACACACACACATACATTCCTGAAAACTATTTTTCTGAAAGTTTGTTTGAATTTTTTTTAATCCAATAAAATTCATATGTCTTAACTTTCACKTAWAAGTTTATTTAATTAATTAAATTTAAATAATAGACAAATAAAATTTTTTACATAAATCTTAAAATCATTAAACTAACAATTAGTTAAGTAATCTATAGATTTTCATTACATGATTGTATAATAACAATTGGTTTATAAGTGCCATCTAGTAATTGATGCTATTTTTGATATATTTTTTTGTTATACTTTTTTTTAATGTGTTTGCCATTTGAAAATTTTTATCACGTATTTTGTTTTACAGTACAGTATATGTAATATGTTATTGAAATCATTGCTAATAATTATTAGCGGTGGTGTCTCTAAATATTTTTATTGAAATTATTTATTGATATATACTGTATATTTTTAAAAAATTATTATTACAATACAAAAAAAATATACTACAATTCATATACAAAGATATTTATAGTGTATATATACCAGGGTTGGAAAAATACAAGGTTTTGAAATTTGACTTTGTATAATACAGTAAAATACAATGTACTGCATGTATTATACAAATTTTAAAACTAATATACTGTATATTATGTTTCAAAATTATTTAAAAATATTTAGTAAAAATATAATTTCTAGAAAATGCATTATTATTATTATAATCGTTATTTCTAAGTTATAATAATTAAATAATATTAAATCTATATTTATTATAAAATATGATTTACTTAGCTTATATCAATTCCTTTAGCACTAGGTGGCGCTAAGTTTTTTTGTAAACAAAATTGGTTATGTATTTTACATTGTATTATACAAACATTTTGTCTCTGCCAACACTGGTATAGTATATATAGTGAGAAAAGTTAGTAACAGTAATAATATACATGTATAATACTGTAATAACTGATCACTTTGTGTGTGTGTGTGTGTGTTAGTTAGTGTGGGTGTGGTAATACTGTTAGTCATATTATTAATCATCTATAATTTAATAGCCGTAATAATAATAATAATATGGGTGTCCAGGGATTGATGAGCTTTATTAAGGCTCATAGTCGCCAACTGATGGCTATATCTTACAATCAGACCGCATCAGACTCCCGACTCATAATGTTTTGTGAATAACTATTAAACTATATTTTTAATATAAAAATGACCACAAGTGGCAAAGTTATAGATAATTTTAGACTGGATATATTTATAATTAATTATTTTTTATTTACTCTTATGATTGGCCAGATAATTGCATCAGACCAGTTAAAAGAGGTCTGATGCAATTATCTGGCCAATCATAAGAGTAAATAAAAAATAATTAATTATAAATATATCCAGTCTAAAATTATCTATAACTTTGCCATTGGTCATTTTTTAATTAAAAATATAGTTTAATAGTTATTCACAAAACATTATGAGTCGGGAGTCTGATGCTGGTCTGATTTTAAGATAGAGCCCCAACTGATGACTACTGGCCATCACTTACACGACACATATCTGGTTATCGATGGCAACAATCTATTGTATAGTCTGTACAGTTTGGTTGCAATAACTGATAATAATGATAGTAATAAAAACTTTATCTACGGCGGCGACTATAGTCTGTTTGCCGGTACTGTTCATCGATTTTTCTCTACACTAATCACTTGTTCCGTACGACCAGTAGTAGTAATGGACAGTTGTCTGGATTGGTCGGCCGAAAAGTCGATGAAATGTTTTGGACATCATTTCAATAGTGCCCTACAAATAGCCACCACTAGTAATGCTGACAACAATTATCGACAAACTATTGGCAGTTCATCTACTATATTGCCAACACTGTCCAGACAAGTGTTTTATCAGGTATTGGATCAGTTGGCGATTGCCTATTGTCAAGTCAGACAAGACGGCGACACCTATATGGTAGCGCTGGCCAATCAACTCGACTGTCCCGTAATGACCGGCGACAGTGACTTTTTTATCTACAATATCCGGTCAGGTGTTATACATAACGATTATCTACTAATGGATAGTTCAATGATAGTCAGACAGTTTGAAGACCGAAATAATTGGCGAAATCGTCAGACATATAAATATTTGGATACAATTATCTATAAAATTGATAGACTATTGAACTGTTTTCCTGGACTAACCATTGATTGTCTGCCAGTTTTCAGTACACTAATGGGTAACGATTGTGTGGATTATATTCATATGAAATCAATTGTTTCCAATGATATACCCATTGATGACAGTACTGACCGTACAAATAAATTTCTAATTCAAAGAAATTCATACGAAAAACATCGACAAATGGTTAAAGTATTGAATTGGTTGAGACGACAGTCAAGACAACAGGCCATTGAATTTGTTCAGTCGATACTAACTGATAGATCGATGACTGATCTACAAAAATCAGTTGATGTATCAATTGAAAAGTTTACCATTAATAATGATGATAACAATCATACCTATGAAACCTATTTCAATCGATCAACCAATTCATTCAATTGGACAGAAATGGCCACTAAGATGATGGAAACTTCAGGTATGCCATTATGGCGTTCAAATGAATGGTGTAAATGTCATCTAACTATTATGTCTACGTCATCGCGTATTGAAGATCTGGGACTGGTATCTACCTATCAGTGCTCGTGGAAATTGAAACAGTATGTCTATGCATTGAAAATTGTTGATAAGGATGATAATGATGATGATAACGGTATGGATGGTGAAGCAGTAGATGATAATGTAGAGCCAATGGTATTATTTTTAGATAGATATGAAAACAGTTTGAAAGAGTTTAGATTAAAACCAATGTTTGCGTTAACAAAAAGTGGTCGTCCGGTACCAAAACCGACTGAAATAAATGATTTGACAATCACTGAGAAGTATGAATTGATTTCCGAAATGTTATTCGACGACAAAGACCAGCTTCAGTCCATCATTGATCAAACAAGACGTCGTTTAACTGGTCTTCAAACAGATGAAGAACTAGTATTTCTGATGATTGTCATCAGGTATTGGTTGGCAAACACACCGAACCAGATATGGTATGAATTCATGTATTCACTAATCATTTGCATACTATTTACTGGACATTTCACTTACGATGACAACGACTACCATAACTATCAACCATTGAAATTGATATCAACTGTCAGTGGAAAACAAACTAAAGATTTCTTGAATTCAATGAACAGACCGTTGAATGGCAGCGAACAGCCGTTTATTCCAAGAATTGTTCACTTTTACAATGAATTTCAAAACTGTTTGACAGACATACGGACCATCAATACTGAACTCCAGTCACCACTACCTATGGGTTGTTCACCTGATATATGTCTGTGCGGATCGTTTATCTATACACTGACCAAAAAGTTGTCACAAACCAATGATCCGGTTAGTTATCTTAAGGGAAAGTTGGATCCAATCGGTTCAACCAACTATTGGCAACTAATTGATAGTTTTATGCAAATTGCTGTCACAAACAACAACAATGATAGCATAAATGATAAGCTTATTAAATGTCCACAAGATTTTTGTCGATAAAATGTATAATTAATTAGTTATTATTAATTTTTTTTTTGATTGTTTGTCTCATATAAATATATAATTTTGATATTATATTTTTCAAAATTGATGGTATTATATATTTAATTACTAATGTTTATAATATATATATATAATATATAATTAATTTATAAACTATTTATAAAATATATGCCAATTGCTAACTAATTAATAGTTATTTTAAATTAGTTGTTTAATCAATGATGTTTTCAATAATGATAAGTTGATTTGGTATCAATATATGTTTGTATTTAAAAATAATAATAATAATTATATGACTAACCAATATTGATATAACTTTTCATATAATATTTCAATAACTTTTTTTATTAATCATTATATAATTTTTTATTGTTTAATATATTGTAATTTAAATTTTTTGTCATTGAATTTGTCAAAAAAAATTGTTAATTGTATTTAGCAATAATATACTTGTTATTATTTCATAATTATTTTTATTAATTAATCTCAATTAGATTTAAAAATTAATATTATTATTGTGAATAATGTTATCAATCAATAAAATACTGTTTTTAAAAATCTTTTAGTTAGTATTTTTATTAATAGCCTATCATTATATAAAAAAATAAAATATTTAGTATTTATATTATTATTTTTTTTTGTATTGAATTAAATAAAAAATGTAAAATTAAATTATAAATTATTATTTTTTTCTAACCAAATATYATACAATAGTATTGTAAAATAGTTTTAAAAAAATAAACTGTTGAGTAAATTAAGATTAATTTTATTATTTTTTATGGTCTTTAAAAAACAAACAAAAAGTTATCGGCGACTATAGTCACTGACTATCGGTGCTGTCCATCGATTTTTCTCTACACTAACCGCTTRTGCCATAAGACCACTGGTTAGTAATGGACAGTTGTCTGAATTGATCGGCCAATAAATTGCTTAACTGTTTTGCTAATCATTTTTGTTAAAGTGCCGTTAATTAAGTAAAAGTCAACCGGAAAACACCGCAACTCCACTAATACCAGTGCAAAAAGCAAGTGCACTGTTTGGACAGACATACGGACCATACATACGATACAATTTATGAATTATGAATGAATGAGTTAAAGTTGAAATCAAATAAAACAATATATTGAATAATAGCTGATAAGCCGAAATAAACCACAAACTTTATATTAAATTATATTATTAAATAAAAATTACATAAAAAATATTTAAATATTCATGTAATTTTTATTATCGATTATAAATTAAAAAAAAATGAATATTAATATAATTTATGAAAATTTAATTTATTTATTTATTTGGTCTCATTATCTAAAGCGATAATAGTTGCCTAACAATATTGTTATTATTAACCATAAAATGCTCCGGTTCTGTGATACGGACCATAAATACATGAACTCCAGTCACCACTGCCTATGGGTTGTTCACCTGATATATGTCTGTGGAATCGTTTATCTATACACTGACCAAAAAGTTGTCACAAACCAATGATCCGGTTAGTTATCTTAAGGTAAAGTTGGATCCAAGCGGTTCAAACAAACTATTGGCAACTAATTGATAGTTTTATGAGAAATTGTTGTCACAAACAACAACAACAGTATGTAATGTTAGCATAAATGATAAGTTGATTGAATGTCAGTAGGAATTGATACGATATAAACCCGAATACGATTTTAACATTAGAAAATAAACACCTACTTAATTACGCAACGCAGTTGCAATGACGCAATACATAAATAATACACAAATTACGGTGTCACTTACCCGTGGGTTGCCACGTGACAAATGTAGGCTTAAAATTATTATATAATTATGAGTTTATTATTATAATATCAAACTTATGAAAGTAATAGTTTGAAATTTAAATAAACAACTGTACCCTTAAATTTGGTTTCAGATATATATATATATATATATATAATGTTAGTTATATTGTTATATTAATTAAGCGAAATTAGCGACGATGAGCCGTATAACTACTATTAATGTTTAAGAAGACTTTTAACAGTTTTATGAAGGGGTAATGACATAAAAGTATACTAATGTATAGTATTTTAGTTGCATACCTTGTATAACTACAATTATGTTTATATATCTTATATCAATACATTTACATATTTTATAATTAGTATTATTTTAATATAAAATACTCAGTGCTATGACATTGATTTTAACTACTAAAATTATGACATTGAATATTACATTACGTGGTTATCAATTATATTTAGATTAGTTGTTTTAACTCTCTGAGATGACTACCATGACGTACGTCTTATTAATATTAATTGGTTCTATTATAGATTTTAATCATTAGTTGAATATAGATAGGCTTTATGAGTATCTAAAGAATATGAGTGAATTTCTTGTGCATTGTATTGATTATTGAGAATAGTTATAGACGTATACTGTGTGTATAGAGAGTCTTAAACAGCGGCGCCGACGACGACAGCGGCGATTCTTTTAATTTCAATTATCTGTCCAACAATACGTCGGACTTAAAAGTGACCAAGGGCAATGTTGTAGATAATTTTAAAATGGATAAGATTGTAATTGGTCATTTTTTAATTAATTGCATTATTTGGCAGATAATTGCAGTCGACTATATATTATCTGCCCATTCATATAATTAATTAAAAAATGAACAATTACAATCTTATCCATTTTAAAATTATCTACAACATTGCCCATGGTCACTTTTAAGTCCGACGTATTGTTGACCAGATATTTAAAATTAAAAGCATCGCCGCTGTCGTCGTCGGCGCCGCTGTTTAAGACTCTCACTGTGTATATGAGTTTATCTTTGGATTGATTACTGTAATTGAGATAGAATATAGATTTATTTGAGGTACTTTGTGTGCTTTAAAGTTGAGATAATTAAGATTGAGTATTGTCGTATTGAATCTATAATTAGTTAGAATAGCATATTTAAACTAAAAAATATTATAAAGTTTTATCAAATTTGTTAATAAATTATTTTTTAAAATTTATATTTTGTTGATGTTTGTTTAGTAATAATTTGTTATTATGTTTTAAAAATTAGTTTTTAATATACATCTAGTTTTAATAATTTATTCTAAGATCTATAAGACAGGACATTTTAGCTGCTGATACATAAACACATGCGACAAATACATATATAACAGAAAACATTTTTTTTTGAAAAGTTTGTTTGAATTTTTTAATTCTAAAAAAATTAATTATAAAAATTTTTATGTATAAATTTATTCAATTAATTAAATTTAGATAATAGATAAATTAAAATTCATATAAATCTTCAAAATTTTAAATCAATAAACTAACAACTACAAATTGTTATAAAATAGTTAAGAAATTATATAAATAAAAATAACTATTTGTCAATAAATCTATCAAATCATTCAATATATATTTTTTTTACAATGATTGTATTTCTTTATAGATATAAATTTTTTAAATAATTTGTTAACTATTTTTTATTTAATTTATTTCCCCGTATAATATAATAATACTTATTCACTTATTTATTATGTAAAAAAATTCAAATATTACATAAAAAAGACCAATAATGCTAATGTCATGTATATTGAAATTTATGATAGTATTAAATATTTGAATTACCTAACACATATTTTTTTTAAAAAAAGTATATAAGCTCATAGTTTTTTAATAACAAAATACAATTAAATAATTATTAATATATTTTTTAATATTTTAATTTTATATTACAATGCGTTCGGTTATTATTTTAGTTATTATGATTGGCTTATTGTTTGGTTTGTATTTATACAAAAAAATTAATATATTAAAATATTATACTAAAATATATTTATTATTTTATATATAAAACTAATTTTATAATACCATTTATTATCTATAGCGGCAACAATGGCTCAGATACCCAATTGTAAACCTGATGAAAAAATATGTCATAATGTCTGCTGTGAACCGGGACAGTTGTGTGCCGCTGTTGGTCTACTCGGTGTAGCCATATGTTTGGGTACGGGTTAACTCTGGTAATTCAAAGCGCGTTTAAATTGTAATTAATTTTAAATTCCAGTTTAAATTTGAATAATTGTTTTATTAAGAAATATTTGTAATACTTTATTTAGAAACAAAATATGTTTTTTTTATTAAAATAAAATTCTAATGCATTTTAATTTGTTTATAATGTATTTTATCAATAAAAAAAATATCAAAAACTAAAAACTGTATAACAACTTTAGATTTCGGTGTATATACAATATTAGTATTTAATTTAAACACTAAAATAAATCAATATTTTAAAATCAAAACAAATATCATTTTAATTTTATATATTTATGTACTAAATGTATCCATGTAAAAAATATTAAATTTCAATTTTTACATTTTTGTCGCCATTTTGTGTAATGTTCATAGAAGATAGGTCATTTTAGATGCTAATCCCCTTACCGTATCTGAAATTATAAATTCAATATTTTTGTAAAATACATGAGACAAACACACACACAGGCACTCAGATAGACATTCACACACACATACAGTACATACACATAGATAAAAACAAACACACAAAGTAATTATAATTTTAAAAAATAATTTGTCTATAAATCTAGCAAATCATTCAATATATTTGTTTACACTGATTGTATTGCTTTATAGATAATTTTTTTTTTAAATAGTTTGTCAACTATTTTTATATCATTTATAATATAATATAATAATATAATACCCGTATAATAATATTAATACTTATCTAATTTATTATGTAAAAAAATTCCAATATTACTTAAAAACACTAATAATGCTAATGTCATGTATATTGAAATTTATGATAGTATTAAATATTTGAATTACCTAACACATATTTTTTTCAAAAAAAAACACTGGTTATATATTTTTAAAAAAGTATATAAGCTTATAGTTTGTTACTTATAAAATTAACAACAACGAAAAAAATACTATTAAATTATTATTAATATACTTTAATATATATTTTTTAATAATTTAATATTTTATACTACAATGCGTTCGGTTATTAT